TTTATTTAAAGAGCAAAAATTGGCCAGTAGTGAGATGTATTCGAAAAATTAAAGATTGAAGTACATGGTAATGTGTAAAGGAACAATAATAATAAATCAGCTGAAATTAAGACATTTCTGGTCCATGAAGTTGCATTAAATTATTATTTTCAGACAGGGATATTTTTTTACGGTGCGTAGATTATGGCAAGCGTTTCGCTGGAATTATCTGCACCGCAGATTATCAATATCCATCCGACTTCAACTGTTATAATTTCACCACATATTCGTGTCATCGTCGCAGAAGATATATCTATTCGTGCGTTTGCAAGAAAGGACGTCGAAAAATGTGAATTTTCTTTGAGCTGATATCAAGGAATGCATACAGCAGGCCACGTGATGTGTACGTCAAGCAGCTTCAGGATACAAGCATTACAACACTCATTTATTAGTTGTGCATTTGTAGCTCTCAGCATATCAGTGGATACGGGAAAGGCTGAATTTGAATGCGTGGGCAGGGGATCATTACCCCAGAATTTCAGCCTTCTAGACTCCGTGGTTCCTGAAACATTAATTTACCCGCAAAAAACTTCCACGGGCGTACGATGGGGGTCTAAAAAGTAAACAAGACACATGGGATTGTTCTTTCTGAAACATGGAAACGCTCAAGCAGTCTGAGCGGTAGCAAATGTCAGCGCAGCAACCACACGCTAAGATTCTCAACGGCTCGCACTTCCGGAAGTTGCTTGCGAACGAGCTGACAAGTCTGCACATGCCAGTACCAGTTCACTGCCAAAACGGATGAAAAGATTCGTCCGTAAAGGGACTAGTTTCCCCAGTGCTGTAATTGAACCGTTGAACCAAGGAACGATAACACAGGAACTTCTTGGTACGTGAATTCCACCGATTCAAAAAGTAATAAAGGAAATAAACACTAGCGCACACCGGAATAGCCTGGTGTTTGCGAGCATCCCAATAACATAGCTAATAGGCAAAAGGGGTGGTCTTGCTATCCTTGGTAACTGCATCACTGCCTAAATCAGTGGCCTAGGGTTTCCAGGATCTAATTGCTAAATTTACAGGAAGCCAAAAAAATTCATGATTTTTAGAGAGAGGGATGAATGCGCAGACGCTGACGTATGCGCTAAGGGACTAACGACTACGACCAGAACAACGATGACAACAACAGTGACAAACTCGACCAGTAACATAATTACCACTCAACCAGGTACTACTCAAACGGTAAATTAAGAATGTAAAAGGAAGAAATATATACTATACTCTTCAAATGCTCCAAATAAGGTGGTGCAAAGGGAGAATGTGAATATTTGCCTAACTGTGGTAATGATAAGAAATGTATACGACTTAATGGACCGAAACATTTCTTACCCACTGCAAATATTTCAATACTTTCATTCCTTTTTTTCACTTCGTTTTTCTTCCCTTCTTCATTTTTTTTATTTCATCATTTCCTGCCTTATCCTTCGATATGAGTGAAGATACAAAACATTCGGCTAAAAAGGTGTGAAATGAATATTGTGTTGAATATTGTTTTGTGTTTTGCAGTAGAAAAAAAAGTGA